CGTGGGGCAAAACTTGATTTAACTGGATGACTTCATTAATGAACTGGCAACAAAACAAGCGCGCATAAATATGCAAATAACTGAACAAATGTGTGTGTTTGTACTTACACATATTCATATAATAAATATGTAAATGCATACACATGTAATCACAATGGAAACTACAAAACGCTTGCGTGCGTGCGTGCGTGCGTGCGCGTTGGCAGGCAACGCTATACAAAAAATGAGCAACAAGAACAATACGCGCGCGCACGCCGCATTGTGCGCACTTGTCTCCAGTCTAGTTGATTTCGCGCAAGCTGGCAGCATTGTTTGGCTTTTTGCAAGCGTAGGTGCGCAGCAGAAGACAATTCAATTGCGAATGTTAAGTGAAGTCTATTGATTCAATTGGCTTCGACTGCAGCTGCGACTGCGTTTTTAATTAAACGCAAGACAAACGAAGGCTGCGTCTGCCGCTCCAACAACAACAACAACAACAACTCTGAACAACCCCCACGGCGTGTGCGTGAGGTTCTTGAACTCATTCGTTCAACAACAATTTGGCCTTTCCATAAATAAGGGCCGATGTTATTGTTGCTTGCCGTTATTTTGCACACGATGACAGCGACCGGAAAACGGATGTGCCCTATTTGGCCGTTAGTCGTATACATAAATTTATTAATACATACATACATACATACATATGCATATGTTAATACTTGAATTTTTTGTTGCGTCCCATTGCCATTGTGAACATGCGTTTACGGCATGCTAAGAAGTTTTTTGTCACTTCTTCATTTCAAATTGTGCCATTTGAAATGGGAACAGACAGGAAAAAGCTGCTGCCACATTTGCAATGTTATTGGAACAAGTTCAATTGAACGGCTCATTAAAATGAGCAGCCATAGAATAGTTTCTTTATTTTTTTTGTTTTTTATAAAAGAAACATTTTGTTTATTTAGTTGTTGAGCAAAATATGATATCAATACTTTAAGCTTTCGTATATGTGAATCTACATTAGTCAGTTTTTTAATAAAGACATATGCATATTAAGTTAATAAATTGTCTTTTATTGAATTACCCTAAGAAAACGACGACTAAACTAAAATCAAAACGGACAAGAGTAAATGAAAAGTGAATAACTGCTTCAATACACGACTCACAAAATGAACCACTGAACATATTCAAAATGAACTAGAACTCCCATCGCTAACATACATATATATGCATGTATGTAATATGTGTGTGTGTATGTATGTATGTATGTATGTCATGCATCACGCACTCACACGTCGCGATGCGCCATTAAAGATCAATGTGACGGTGGGTGACAAAGTGCGTCCGGTTTCGAGCGTTTTCTCGGATGCAAATGTCCAAGGCCTTCGGCTGGTGCTTTTGCTGAATAGTTGGTGCCAATGAACGCACTGAAACCGTTATGGCCGCCTTCAACACAGTATATTGGCAATGTGTTGTTGCTTTTGTTGTTGTTGTTGTTTGTTGGTGGCTGCTGTCGAAAAGTTTTCCCCCTCAATGGAAAAACTATGCAGCCGGCAGGCAGAAATGCGCACAGCTGCAACAACAACAACAGCACAAAACGTGCAGCGCATAAAAAGAAGTGTGAAATGGAAAAACACATAAAAGAAAAATACAACTCATACAGACAACAACCACACACACACACACACGCACACACAGAAACACACATATGAAACGAGAACATTAAAGGAATTTCATTTGAGTTTGGCTGGCAACGCCGTGTGACCTGCCAATTGGCAACTTCGTTTTTCAAAAGCGCCGCTTTCTAACTGCACTTTAAGCAGCGACAGTTCAAAAGCTCGGCTCGTATTTACATATGAATATAATATACATGTACATATGTATGTGCAATGGCAATGTAGGCAAATTCCGAAAAAGCTCTTAACAGTCATCCCATTGTTATAATACTCTACTGTCAAAACGAAAAAGGGCGTATACGTTGGTCAATTACAAATTGGAAATTTCTGTAAGTTTCCTTGCGTTGCGTCTATTCGCATAATATATTTGTTACATTTAAATATTTACATACACATATTCTCCCAATTGAAGATTAATATGGGATATAGTTTGAAACCCACTGCCTTGGAGTCACAGTTTGATGACAGAGTATTCCGCATTCGTATAGTAATGACTGAGCAACATCTTTACTTGTTTCACTGTAATTTGATGTGCCACAATCTCTTTGTGCAATCTCGCGGTTCTCGACGGAGGATTCGTATTCGCAGAATGAGTTAACAATAAAAGTGCTGGCGTTGACGTCTGTCGAGCCAATTCTGAGGCATGTCAGTTCGCATTAACGACCAGCATGCAACATGAGCACTTGATGCACATCCATGCATCCAATTTTGAATGGCAGCAAAGGGACGCTGAAAAAATACTCGATTTGCAGTTAAATTGCGTATTCAACGTGGGCAAAAGAGAAAAACAAACAAAAAACAAGCAAGACTCGCAGATACCCAATGCAGAGCCATAAGCTACGTATTGCCTTTCTATGCGCTTCTCATAAAATCAAGATTTGTTCAGTGTGGCAGCGGATGGAGGATAATAAAAGAGACAAAGACTGAGTGATGTAGGAAAAGGGACACGAGAAAGGCGAAGAGAGTCACATTTAAATATTTCATGCAAATACATACATATGTTCATGATGTTCCTTTTATTGGACTTAAAAAAATGCAATTGCAAATTGGAATGTTTAAACGCCAGAGTTAATTCGTATCTACAAAATCCCATAAAAAATAACCTTATACATAATTTAAATTTCATAATATCGAATGCACAGATTTCTAGATGATAACCCTATAGGGTTACTTGAAAATTCTATAGTATTTGAAAACAGAACAAAAAGGAAACAAAAGGAAATTCTGAAAAAAAGATTTTCTGCGAAAACTGTATTCAAGAAATTGGCTTGTTTTTCACAGGTTTTTTTAATTGAAACTGATAGCTCAGACTATAAGAATAAATTCATAGAAAAAAGTTGTTCATCAAAATTGATGAATGCTCGAAATAACTTTACTTATAAATACTTATATGTATATAGTTCACACAAGATTTGCCTAACTTGCAATATAAATAACAATAATTTGCTGATTAATTACTTTTGTAATTACACATGATTAATTAACTTTAAAATACAGGTAAGTGAACCTAGAATAAACAACAAATATATGTGTGTGTGTGTGTGTGTTGGCAAAGCTTAGTCAAACAACAAAGTTGCCAGTGTTGTAGAATCATCCAATTAGCATTAAATGACTTTTTGTACTTAAAGTCTTAAGCACTGCCAATTGAAATACTTTGACTGAACATATGTACATATGTACTTATGTGTATTTCCATATACATACATAAATAATTGGCAAGGGCAGCCAAAAACTGTGTCAGTGTGCACATGATGCATAACAAAGCGGTAAACTTTTAGCGCTCACTGTTTGCATGTGTGTTAGGTCCAGAGATGGGCCGCAGACCTTAGCTACGAGGCACGAGCACGAATCCGAAAAACAACATAATATGCAAATTTCTAGAGATGAGGCGATAGTTCGAGAACGGCTTGAGATAAGCTGCGATATTCAGATATTGCCCATCCCAAGAAGGCTTTGCAGAAGAAAGCGACGGAGACTTCGGAGGATCCTCCCAAGCCGGGTATTTGGATAATAATTTAAAGCTTAATATGTAATGCTAAGTATGTTCAATTTCATTAGTGTTAAGCTAGCTTAAGATGCCTTAGCACAGCATCAACAAATTAGCTAATAAAAGAGAAATAAAAAAAAAGATAAGAAATTCCCTTCATTGTTGAATTATCTAATTTGTTGGGTTACATCGCACCTTTGGCTCTATATCGTTGTTCTATTTTTCGTGCTGTGCCCAGAGTCTGTTGCACGCGCCCATCTCTAGCTGGGTACCGTTTGTTCCTTTACTCTTCTGTTTGCTGTGACACACAAACTGCATTTGCCTGCCTGTCACACACATGTTTTTGGCAATAGTTCGACTTCGACTTGCACCGTTGATGTTTATACGAGCTGGCTAATGGCAAGCGGATGACGATGACGATAATTATGATGATGAAGATGATCATGATGATGATGTTGGACAGTGTTGAGTTGTGGCGCTACACTAAAAACGTTGTTGCGCACATAAATATTTAGCTCGCAAGTGTCGCTGTCTGCATAATTATGACAGCCACAGTTTGAACCAATTTCTTTTCTTATGCTGCCTCGAGTAACCTTTGCGCAATCAAATCATTTGATACAAGAGAAAAATGCTAATTAAATACATTTATACATAATATGTATTTAGCTATGTATGTGATCCAAACACGGACTTCACATCAAAAATGGGCAATAGAAAAACATGAGAGAGTTGTTATTTTTGGTATATCCGAACTTTAAATACCCTTGCAGATTGTTGGTACATTTTTTGTATTATCAATGAATTCTTTTTCTGCAAAAAGTTGATCTACTCTGATATATAGGGAGATACACAGTAAAGTGCGTGACTATTTGTACAGAAATAGAAAGAATCCAGCATTTCACGAGAAATGCATAATATCCTCCGCAAGGGTATTAAAACCAAGCATAACGTATCAAATACAAGTTGATATACAAATACAAAAAGAAGCATTTTATATGAATCAAGATTTTAGATTTGCCACTAAATAAAAGGGTATACAACTTGGCATGCTTCAGAGGCAACAACATAGCTGTGAATCTGGCAAAGGGTATGCCTAAAGTCAAATGCCCGCCTGAAACGTATTCTGTGCCCCTTTCTGCCTTTCTGAATTTCTCAACGTTTTAAACCAGCGCACGTTCGACTCACTTTTTACTCGGTTACGAAAAGATAAAAAAAAAGAGGTGAAAAAAGCCACAAAATGTCAAACAAAAGAACAAGTTCTCAAGCAAATAATAAGAAATGTATCTGTTAATATTATTTCTTTTTTTTTTTTCGTCATTATTGTTGTTGTGTTTTGCTTGTTATTCAATTTTTAAAAATTTGCATAATTTAATGGGTGTATTTTTGCGTTGTTTTTGTCTCATTCGCATGGAATGTGGAATCCAAGTGGATTGGGCTGAGCTTTATACAAGATTCGAGTTGCATTTTTACACCACCCTACTGGGCCCAGAGGATACCAGCTTAGCGGTACTTTCTAGCGCTGCGAAAGTCACAACAAAAGCAGAAACCCAACCCAAAACAAACTTGCGAGGCATCTTCGCTGCTGCTGCTTCTGCTGCGGCCTCTGCCGGCGTCAGCAATAACTCCTGCAGCGAGACGCTCTCACTTGAGAATTGTGTGCCGCAGCCGCTGCCGCTGCCACCGCCGCCGTCGTCGTCTGGCAGTTTGTCTGCTTTTATGGAAACCGGCTAAATTCCATTTGATTGGGATGCCTTTGCCTTTTCTTTTTTCTCGCTGCATTTCACAATTGAGTTTCTGCTGACGTCGCAGCACACAGCTGTCAAGGGCGTTGGGCTTTTGGACGGCCGCGGCGGCCTGCAGGCAGCGACGCAGCTTTCAATACCGTTATATTTATTGTAGTGGGCGCAAATCTCATTGGCTGGTCTTATAAAGCGGAGCTTGGAGTATGTATATATGTGTATGTATGTATGTATGTATAGATGTGTGCATTATAAGTGCATTTGCGTGCACATGTATGTACATACCTTTAATGCTGTTCGCTTATTTCTATTTGCCGCCCCAACTGTTGCTACAGTTTACTAACTGTAGTGGTTGTTGTGTTTGCCAGCGTTGGCGTCGCAGTTTGGCTCTTGTGGTTGTGGTGGTGGTTGGTGTTGTCGTTTTTGTTGTTGTTGTTGTTGTACAGCGCGGCAAGGAGGAATGCATTGAATATTAATTAGTTCTTTATTTAAATTCTTGCATTAACTTTGTACATAGTGTGTATGAAATTTGCATCTAAAAGCCGCGCGCAACAGCAAGCAAAAGCAAGAGCAAAGTCAAATGCAAACAATTCCAAACACTGTGCGTGTTGGTAAACGGGTTTACTTTACTCTGGAAACCGCAATAACAACAATACCGAATTATATTTATCAATTGCAACGCTTGTGTATCGCATTTACGGACACTTAATTCAACACTTTTCGACTCGTTTTAATCAAAACAAGGCTTCAATGCACAACAAAAACAAATTGTAAAAAAATAATAAATTGTAAACGCACGCAGACGCCGTCGCGCCAGTCCGCTCAATGAGTTTTATGCGACTGAATCCAAAAAGCGACTGTTAAGTTAACAGGCTCTCTGTGAGCGCAACAGTTGGTTAACAGTTTTACAACAAGAGAATGGAAACCGTTTACATGTAAGTATGCAGCGCTTTTAGCACAATTCTCAGGTTTTTTTTTTAATATATTTTTTCTATTTAACTTGCTTAGGCAATAGCCAGTCTAAATTATACGGAGCTCTGTAAACAAACACAACTCGCGCAACGTAAAATTAACAGTACGTATGCGCAAAATCTCGAGTCACATACGCAAAAAGCAGCTCAGTGAACGCATAAATGAGCACCTGATGATTTTCACATGTAAATCAACAGCGCCGTTAGCGCCAACTTATATTTATTTCTATTTAATAATAATAAAAAAAAACAGCTATAATTAAACTGCCGCTACTACGCCTCCTGCTCGCCGCCGTTAGCCAACTTTTTCGCCCTCTTAGCCAGCTTCTTAATGTGTTCGCTCTTGTCCAGATTGTTCTGGAAGAAGGTCGTCTCCTTGCGCGCCTGCGACACCTCCGTCTGCAGACGCTGCTTATGCACCGCCTGCTCGTAATTCATGCGCTCCGTCAGGTGGACCCACTTGAAGCGCGGCAAATATTTCATGCTCCACAGCGAGTCGAAGAACTGTGACTTCTTGCGCGTCGAGATTTGCTTGTTATTAAGCAGCGGCACGATCTGCTTGGCCACACGCTTCGACTCGAACTCCACCCAGCCTTCGGTAAAATGAATATTGTAGCGTTTGCGTTTATTTTTCTTGGCCTTTTTATCACCACCTAAAGAAGAAGAAGGAAAAATAATTGGCATAAGCGAGCGCTGGATTGGCGCCAATTACAACTCACCAGGCTGCTTTTCCGGCTGCAAGTAGACACGTCCGATTTTGCCAAATTCACCGAGAATTTCACGCAGACGCGTTACATTCATGTGCTTTGGTATGTTTGATATATAAATAATGCCCTTCTTGCGTTTCTTTGGCTGGACGATTGCTTTAGCGCCGGTTTTGAAGTTGGCCAAATCCATTTCATCGTCGTCGTCGTCGTCATTGTCGTCTGCGCTGGGAACGTCGACTGCCTCAATGTTTTTATCTGTGCTGCCATTTAGTTCCGTTGATTCCGCCACCATTTCCTCACCACTTTCCACATCAACGGGCACCGTTGCGGATTTCGTTTTTAGTTTTCTCTTCATTTGTTTTTAGTGCAAAACGTGCGCTCCATGTGTGACCGTATACTTTTAATATGAAAATATCGAAGCGTGCATATCATTTGCTCCACACTGAACGTGCTCTTTTACTGTAAATTAACATTTAGCTTAACATATTCGACAAAATTCTCGCACTTGCTGACCGTATCGTCTTACGTCAAACTTTAAAATTTCGATAACTACTTTTCGATAACGCAGGGCTGAAGTATTTCGCGCATAAAAAAAGTGCAGTTGATAAAAAGAAAACAATTGAATTCCGTCAGTTTTAATGTTGGAACACAGTTGATTACCATCCTCTCAAAATGCCAGTAAGTAGCTGGACTTATCGCATTTGCACAAAACATATGAAAAATTATCGATGAGTAATACCGGATCTTATAACGCCTTTGAACAAATATTTGAACTTGAAAAGTTGAATTCTTGCTTTTGCTTACTATTTTCCAGGCCTATCATTCGGAAATAGAAGAGTTCCAACGGCAGGTGGGAAACATGGCCATTTTGCCGTTGCGCACCAAAGTACGAGGGCCAGCGCCCAGTGTTAACGCTGATAACGATATTATTGATGAGTCACTATATTATTTCAAAGCAAACGTTTTCTTTCGTACGTATGAAGTCAAGGTAGGGCTGCACAAATGTACTTTACTTGAATAGTAGCTATTTATTAAATGATTAATTCTTGTATCGCAGTCGGAAGTGGATCGTGTGCTTATCTATGTAACACTCTACATTACCGAATGCCTGAAAAAACTGGCTCGCTGCACGAGCAAGGAGCAAGGTCAGCAGGAGCTCTATGCCATGGCCATAGCGAAGTTTGATATACCTGGCGATGCGGGCTTTCCACTTAATTCGGTGTATACCAAGCCAGATAATGCCGATCTGATGCGTGAATATTTGCTGCAGTTGCGCCAGGAAACTGGCTATCGAGTGCTCGAGAAGGTCTTTGATACGACGGATGATAAGCCAAACAAATGGTGGATATGTTTTGCGAGAAAGAAGTTTATGGAGAAAAGCCTTTCTGGTCCCGGCCAGTAGAACATTCCTAAAATCGACTGTTAAATCAATTTTAAGACTGTTAAGGCGTTGTTGCAGCCCTGCGGCAGTGTTGATAAATGCCCAAAGTATTCACATATATGGCGCCAAGTTTAAATCGAACTTATAAAAGACAATGTATAATCATTTATTAAAATATATTTTTGTTTTATCTAGTTTCGTTTCTTTGAAAGCCAATTAACAGTTGACGATTAAATCAATCGGGCCACATATAAACAGGCACGGCAGGCACAACTTAAAATTAATAACATATAATAGCACAAACAAAAAAAAAAAATACTATATATATATATAAGACTTAACTTAGAAGGACAATGAAACGTTATAAGGTATTTCACACGTTTACAGCATATTTACAAAATACTTGGCAAGCACTAGGGGCCCATTAAGCCCTACTACTACTAGTTAAACTCTCTAATAATCTCTACAATGCTCTGATATGTGCCCGTGACAATGCCCAGCAGGGCGATTGTTAGAATGGCGATATTCTTGAAATAGATCCAGGTGCCAAGGCCCTTGGGCACCTGGGTGCGTGTCACAAAATCAATGATCACAGGTATAACAAATGCCAGCGAGGTTGAGCATAATGCACCGATTAGCGAGATAAATAGATTCAATTGGGGCACCACCAGGGCGACACAAACTGCAAAAGACAAAAGACAGAGCAATATGGGTTGAATTTTGGATATTTAGTTTGAAATGAATTTCCAACTTACAAGTCATCATGATCATGACGAAACGCAGGCCCACCTGCATGGTAATCGGATACTTTTGGGCACAGCCATTGGCACGCTTAACGGGCGGCCACAGTATTTTCATCATCACGAAAAACTGTATGGGATAGCCAAAGAAGACGCCCAAAGCGGCGACCATCTTAACGACCTGCGACATGCTGCACAAAGACATATGGATATGGATATGATTTAATGCTTTACGAAGAATATGGATTCTATCGCCTGTACTCACACATCCTCGACATTCAGATTTAGCGTAATGCTGCCGGCAACATACTCGCCCCAGCGCACATAGCTAACAAATCCCGTGAAGATGAACAGCGCCGTGATGAACAGCATCGTTACGTTGAGTACACCGAATCGGCTGCTAAAATTGTCGGGTTCGCGCATCGAATTGCGTAGCGGCAGGATCAGGGCAATGCCCTCGTATGAGAAGAGTGCGGTGCCAAAGAACAGCGCCAGCTGGCTGCCGCCCGTAAAATAATGCCGTTCCGCAACTGATGGCATCGGACCGTCCGAGAAGGCAATCGTCAGTGTGGCAATCAAGCCAAATAACAGCGCAAAGTTGGCCAGCAGCGATACTGGCGATATATACTTAAGGTTCGTCATCAGGGAAGGTATCATTGCCGGCAGCAGAGTAATCAGCATTACCATGCTCATGCTGATGTCTATGCCATTCTGTTGCAGCACCTGAGACAAGAAGAAATATGTATATGTATATTCTTTTTAAATATAAGTGTTGGAAAATGCTGAATGCTTAAATGCTTAAGTGTTGGAAAATGCTGAATGCTTAACTGCTTAAGTGCTGGAAAACGCTGAATGCTTAACTGCTTAAGCGTGCGCGCATGACACTTGCTCGTTTTATAGTGTTGCAAATGAGCGCAAAAATTTGAATTATTACAACAACAACAAAATATATACATATATTAACATATCACAATATTCATTTAGTTAGTTTGAAAAAAGGTATGTAAGTGTACATAACTATTATTTTTATTAAGCTGATCGATTTTTGAAAGCAAACTAATTACATTTTTAAATTAGTTATTAAATGTTCAGGAATTGTCTTACGTTTTTCTATCGGAAAACATAACCTCACAAAATTAGAGCATAACGGAATTGGTGTGCTTAAGTATATCTAGCAAATGTTGTAAGGTTGTCTTAAGCTTAACAACTGTTGAGTAACTGTTGAGTAACTGTTTCATCATTTTTATATAATTTTTCAGATTTTAATGTCCTGGGCCTATATTCAAAAATTAGTTGATATTTAACTAAATATTCTTCTCTTTATATGCTTTATTCTTGTCCTTTTGTTTATTTAAATCTTTTAGAAACTTTATCACATTTAAATTAAATAGAAAAATAAGGTTTTTGGATGAGTTTTCTGCTCGAGAATCGAATCAGTCAGGTTATATGTATACCCTGTAATTTAACGGAACGGAACTATTGCCACAGGAAGGGTATATATATGTATATGTATATAATCGCGTGAGTAAATAAACGATGTTTTTCAACAAAAGTAAGTAAATTATGAAGCTAACCAAACTTGCATAAGTCTTAAAAAGAAGCTAACCTGGTAGAGATTTTCCGTGATGAACACAAAGTAGATGGCACAGAAACCGAATTGCGTAACACAGAGAAACATCTCGACGATGAGCTTCATGGCGCGCGACATGCAGCGCAAAGGTCGTGGCCCGTACTCGAAGCACTTCTCCACCGTCTCCGGGTAATCGTAAAAGGTGGCGCCGGGCGTCTTGGCAACGGCCAGCAGGGAGCCGCGTATGAGCAGTCGTTCGCAGTGCACGCACATGATCGCAATTATGGGCAGCATCAATGTGGAGCCCACCAGGCCGCCATTCTTGAAGCAATCGCCCATGGCAAAGAGGCCTGCGCCGACGCTGCCCTTGAACAGATGTGTGGCTGCCTCCAGATTGCTGGTCGCATGTCGCCGCTTCACCGTGCTCTCCACATCCTTGTCGGCATGCTTTGCAGTGTGCTCCGGCGGCGCCTGCTGCTGCTGCTGCTGCTGCTGTGCTTCCGGCTTCGTTATTTCCAATGTTCTGCCCATGGCGCCAGCTTCGATGGCCTTTTCGTTGTTGCTCTCTTGCTTCTGCAAGTGTGTGTGTGTGTGTGTGTGTGTTTAGTTGATTAATCTCTATTTACAATTTCTTATTATTTTATCACTAATACAATATATTTTAGTGCCGAACGCCGTGAACTCTGTTCGACATGCCTCGCACACAAATGCACAAGCGCGTTACAGTTAAACGACGAAAGCGAAAAAAGTGAGAAGGTAAAGCAATGCGAAAGCAAAAGCAGAACCAAAAGCAAACTTAACGGTGCCTTAGATTAGAGGATAAACGTTCGGTGAGTGGGGAGCGGGGAGAGAGGACAAGGCGTAGGAAATTGATCTAGAACAGAACACGATTCGCTAACGGAATGCACTGCTATTAACCCTAGAAAGCCGGCTGGCTTCTGCGCATCAACAAGTTCAATTGATTGCATTCTTCTACAGATGGACATGTGTGCCGTTTTTTTTTTTTTTTTTTTTTATTTTTATTTTATTGTTTATTAAAAGTTGTTTTTGTTCATTTTTATGTAATCAAAGGGTTAAAAAATGAGAGAATCCAATTAAGAACTGAACCAGTTCGAAACAGAAACTCAAAGTTATTTTTATCTGTTAAGCCAAACCTTAAAACAAACCAGTTCACCACAAAAAGATCGATCCGTAACCCGAACTGAATCATGTTTTGAAACATGGAACTTCCTTTGGCTTACATCCAGCTCCAAAGGTTCGAGTTCAAATTTAACAATTACAACAGGCAATTATATGTTTCGAATGGAATTGTTTTGGTTAAAGTCCAGCTAAAACTAAACATCAAGAACCTACTCGAACCAGCTAGTTCGAATCATGAACCACATAAAACGAACTTGAGCTTTGCAGCCCTGATTCTGATAAGAATTATAGCATTTCTAATTGTTTTTGATGTCGTGCTTCAAACGTGTCACGAAACGGGACGTGACAAACGTTTATCTAATTGCTTTTATAGCAAATGCGCGTAATTGATCACTTTTCGCAGAAAACAATCGGCTTGGTACATGCACACTCGCTTTTGTTTTAAAAATATCCTAATGTCGAATTTAATGCCCGGAACTGGTATTTTAAATTTGACAAAATGCGTCGCACCAGTTAAAAGCATAAAAAAAAACCATTACAAAAATATAATTAAAAAACAAACAAACAAAAAAAAAAAACACTCATTTTGCACGTTTTTTAAAATTATTATTGTTTTGATTTCCGCATTTGGATTCGCGGCGAGTCAAGCAATTAAAACTGTGAGAATTTCACAATGAGAAATACACCCGTATTTCACACACATTTACGCCACAGGTGAATCGATTTGTAAGATATTGAAAATATGTTTAATTCATGTTTGTTGCGCCTTAAATGTTTTATTGAGCCGTTCATTGTTTGAAAAGTTCACAATGTACCTGTGCATATTTATAGCATATATGTATGTGCACTTGACAATATCGGGCGACAGCATAAATCAAGTGGATCACATCTATGGCCAAAGCACAGTTATGTTCTCTAGTGTTGGGCAACGTGTGTAGTTGTCTAGATAGTCGATATCTGTGTGCGTGGGCCGTATTAACATGCGATATACACAAAGATAAGCGCTAAGAGCACGAATCATAATTGCAAATCAAAGTATTATACATTATTAATAACAATAATAAAACAAAAAAAACAAAAAAACAGTATGCCAATCAATGCACACCTTTTATTGCAAAAAAAGAAAATGCAACTATTTTTTTTTTTTGTTTTCACTTTTTATGTGTTTATTTGTTTTTTTTTTTTCGAAAAATATTTTGGAACTTTGGCGCGTGCGTGTTTTCTGTTTTGCTCTTTTTCAGGAGCGTGTTGACGCGTCAAGAACTCAAACCAGACTCAATTCAAAATATTCGAAATGGCCAAGAGCAGCGTGTGAAATACACGAGCAAGGCGAGCTGCGACTGCGGCAGTTGCTCTGCGTCTGCGTCTGCGTCTGCGTCTGTGTGTGTGCGTTAGTGTCTGTGCCTGTGCGTGTATGTGTGTGTGTGTGCGCGCATAAGCAATAATGGTCAACGGCTTTTTGCATCCATACCTTGCTTGCATTTGATGGCGTTCGTCTCTTTCCCTCTCTCGCTCTCTCACGCTCTCGCTCTCTCGCTCACTCACGACTCTATTGAGCGGCAGTTCTGTTATCTCTGTACATTTTGCTGTTGTTGCATTTGCAAATTTTAGTTTTTGATTGTTTAAAACTCTGTTTGTACTGTTTAAAAACAAAACGTTTTATCAATTTGCAAAAGCTGTTAAAATCAGTTTTTTTTTTTTTCTTTAACAATATTACATGCACTTAAATAGTAATACAAAAAGATTAACAGTTTCTTTGCCCCACATTCCCATGTGCGTGCTTATAAGAAAGGCATTTAAATACGTTATTGTTTAATGTTGTATGAAAACTATTTAAACGGCACGCATTGGCGAATATTTCTAAAATCGCATTTTTATTTACTTGACTATAAATGCAAGTGTACTTAAATTAACTATATATTTTTGGGGAGAGGCTTAGTTCTACAATAATGTTTAGTTAACTTTCTCAGCAACAAGTTGGGGCATTTTTATTTATTTATTAATTATTTTATTGGCTGGTCCAATATTTAATTATTATTATTAATTTTATATTCGGTTTGCCGAACATTGGGACCAATAATAAATAAATAAATGAAGAAAATAAATCAAATAATTAAAAACAAAAAAATTTAAATAAAAAATAATAAACAAATAAATAAAATAATTACAAAAATAAATAAACAAAGAAAAAATAAATCAAAAATAAAAATGTAAAATTAGTCTAAGCCAAACAACTTTGTTTGAAGCTCAATTTCCTGTAAAGTGCTTAAAGATTTTTAATTGGCGATCTGAGTCAAGATCTTGGTATATAGAACATCTCACTATACTATATATAGTCAACCGATTCGACTGGCTATTGGCCTATTCGAAGATCCATATTCCACTTTAAGCTGCCTGACAGAACGGATCCTAATAAATCCCTAACCCTAGCACGAAAAATAATCCTAATGGCCTCTACACGATAAAGTACTTTGATTTTGATGAAATTTAATCAAATTAATTAAATTAGACAATGAGTTCTATTGTTAAATTAACAAGCGCTTCACACAACACGATCTTTCATTTATTTACATTGGTTTGTTTTCTATTATTCCGGTTTCGAGCAACAGAATATAGTATCTCTCTCCGGCAGGTTCTATCTAATGCGAGACTCGTTAAATTAGTCAGCTTTAGTCAGATGGTCTTGAAGTCTATTTATGGGTCCTTAGCAGGCGAATAACAAATAAGTTAAGCGAAAATCACGTGTTCTAAGAGTTAGATAAAGTAGTATTAAAAAGTTGTTGTACGTAAATCAACAATATCGTGAGTCCCAGCAGCAGCAGCATCCTGTTTAGGATATTCCAGTCGGGTATTATCGACTGCGCCATACCCGTTCACAGGAAAATATCTTTGTTAACAAATATAACAATACACGATATACGCATATATATATATATATATATATATATATATATATATATATATATATATATATATACTTAGTATGTATATTCATATCGATCTTTAAGGGAGTTCATCATTGGCCAAGTTTAGTCAGCCGAGCATTGTCAAAGATATAGATTTGACCGATTTGCCAGTTTTTAGACTTTTATATGCATTTCCTGAAGTGCTCTATAAAATGATTGGCAATATATATATGGGGCAAATATGCTCAGGCTTATATGCCAGGTCTTAAGCCTTCAACTTCGAACAAATATGCTCTTTTTGCACGTATTGAACGGGTATCAAAGATGAGCGCCAGTGCAAGGAACTGGAAGGGGAAGGGTATCGGCATGGCATAGCCATAGTCCAATTGGAAATTGATATGGAACTCACGACAAGTGCACGTCTCAGGTTCAAGGATGTGCGGCACAATGCGGCGTATGAGCAATTTATGCACGTGCCGATCGAACGTTGAAGCACAAATACGATATGCGATATGCGACATGACAATATTCAAAATTCTTGGCCGTTCGATGGCACAACATGAATTCGAAAGGCGCAACAAGTTCGTGATCGAGCTGCGGTGTTCGTTACACCTGCAACTGGGGCCGAGCACTTGGAACGCATGGAAATGTACGGCATTAAATTGGCTGTTGTTGTTGTTGTTATTGTTGTTTTTCTTTTCTGTAGCGCCAGTTAAATGAATTGCATGAAATTCATGACTGCGCTTTTCTGCTCAATTTGGACTTTCTACGAATATGGCGCATATTGATAAACAATCAATGTAAAGTTCGAACGATCGAACGATCGATGTTTACGGAATTGAACAATTGGATTATATAAGCCAACAACCAAATGTTTAAACGGAAGCATCAGTATTCATCATCAGAGATGAGCTCGTGCCGTTGAGAAATTTCAAAAGTTACGACATGTTTTCTGCTATAATATGTGTTTTTCTAATATACGTAAATATATATATATTAAATATTTATAAATATTTTAAATTAATATTAATCAAATTACTTGTTCACACATTTTCAGCAAGCGGAAGTTCAAACTTTTGCTTCTTTGATTTGGCCTCCATTTTCACCACGCGGCGTGAATTTTTGGCATTGGCTAAATAACCTTTTAATTTTCCGTTCGTTTTTTGTCTTCATGGAGTTCATTTCTTTTTAACATGTAGAACTTTTAAAATGAGTTTGAAAACGATTGAGCTTAATCTAAACTTTTCCACCCAGGCCGCTGGATTTACCGCCCATTTTTCACAGCTACGGGTGGAATTGTTCAAGCTCCTTATTTGTCAATTAGCTCTCGTTGGTTTCAGCGAGTGCTGTTGTCACCCGACGATATTTCGTGTCCCGAGTCGTGCGTGTTAGCACGAGCACGAGCACGAGACTCGTGTAGTTTTAACTGTCGATTCAATTCACATAACTTCTTTGCATGTAGAAATTGATTTCGGTGGGCGATTTGAAGGCCGTTGGGCGGGCAATGTCGAAACGGTTTCGATTAGA